ACGTGAACTCATCCAGATCCATCCCAAATTCATACCAAATGACCCCTAAGCCTCCCTGACCCCTAAGTCGTCATTGGTTCCCTTCAAATCTGCCCAGAAATGTTCAAACCCTAAATCTGAGAAAAAGTGAAACCCTAAAATTCCAAATCATGGATTTTGTCCGATTAAATGAATGTTTGGGGTCTAATGGACCTTAATCAAAGTATTCTCAAATTAGAATACTTCGATTCAGGTCTGTTCGACCTCGATAAGGTTCAAATCAATTCAAGATTAGGACATATTTTGGGTTTGAAGATTCAGAGATATTTTCCCTGTTTTTCTCTTGTATCCTATGTGTGTATTGTTGCCTGTTTCAGTAATCTATGTAATTTTCCTATCTTTTTATTTGATTCTGTCTCATATCCATTATACCCGTTTATTCGATCAAATTATAACATTGTTTCTGTTTGTTGTGATTGTTTACAATGTGTGTAATCGACTCGATTAAGTTCGTCGATTAGTTGTTTCATAAATTCCTGTTTCTGTTAATGCTGATTGAAACAACCTGTTTATCTATTTTGGATTGATTGTTATCATTTGTTGTAGGTAATCAGTTAATTAGTTCTTGCCGATTAATTCGTTCTTGTTTGTTAAATCAGTTAAGTTCGTCAATTGTTGTTGTGTATGTTTGATCTATGGCCACCTAATTTCAGGACATTGTCATTAAGTTGACAATGAACCTGCATTCACATTACCTTCATTCATGTGCATATTGATTCAAGTCTGAATTTCAGTTTCAATGATTCTGTTGAATTCTATGTTGTGTTAGTTTTGACTTAAATTCAGTTCAGTTGTTTCAATTAGAATTCAGCCTTGGTCATTCAGTTTTGGTCTTCAGTCATCAACTGATAGGTTTGAAATATAGAGGTTCAATAATAGGTTACTAAAAGTTTGGAATTAAGGGCAGTAATAACAGTAGGATTATATGGGTATTTTGGGAATGAAACAGTAAGAACAATATGTTAGTATTAGTGTGTTATTAGTGGAATGTTAATGGCTTTAATTTAATGTGATAATGGGGATCAAAAGATAATGGGGGGCTGAAATTAAGGGAAAAGTTTTCCTTAGTGGCTGATTAATTAGAAAAGCAGCCATAATGGCAGTTTCAGTGGAAAAAATCTGTTTTGAATAACATAAAGGGGTCGAGCATTGAGTTTTAAAAGGGGGGCAGACTTGTTTAAAAGGGGGAAGCTGGACAGTGTTAAAGAAGAATGGGAAAGAGCTGGAAAAAAAATCAATAGAGAGAACAGATAGAGAGGACAGAAGAAAAAAGAAGAGAACAGATAGAGAAAAAGAGGGGAAGAGAAACAGAAGATACAGACATAGAAAAAAAAATAGAAAGAGAAAAATAGAAAAACAAAGAGCATACACACACACACAGAAAAGAGAAACAGAACAGAAAAGATAAGAGAAGAAAGAAAGAAAAAATCAGAAATATTGTTTTCCTCATATCTGTGCGGACTTGTTTGGTGATACTGTTCGTTTGAATCTGAAATTTTCCTAAGATTTCTGCTACTGTGCGTCTGGTTTTCACGGGTCTTGCTATTTTTTTTTTTGCTCAAATCTGCTGAATCATTGGCATTTTTCTGTTGTTGGGTNTTGGCATTTTTCTGCTGTTGGGTTTTCTGTTGCTGCTATTGCTGAAGTATTACTTCTTTTACCTTCATTTCCAGGTACATATCTGTAGACTCATGTCATGAAAAGCTTCAATATTGCAAGTAAATGAAATCTGGAATTTCAAATATGTCTGCTGTTCATCTTAAGACATTAGTTGAGTTTAGTTTTTTTTAATTAACTATTAGCTTGCGCTTGACATGAGAACTATTAGTTAATCATCCTCTTTTGAAATTCGTCTAAGCTTTGTAATAATGTTATCTATTTCAGAATCTCATTAAGTATAGTTATATTCGAATTGTAAGACAGGGAACTTGGTAGAAAGTTGATTATTCTTTAAACTTTGTATTTAGACCATGTTAACTAAGCACTTGGTAACATGAAATATCGGGGAATTAGCTATTAAATTTCGTCAAGTCCGATATTGTTTAATTCTAGTTGACATAAGTATTCTCGTTTATACAAAAATAGGGCCTAATAATGCGGATTACTCTAAGTGAAAGGTGAATCGATATAATTCGTTACGATTAAGATATTGGATTATTACGGATGGTTCAGATGTATATTTACGTTACATGTAATGTTATTTTATTAAATCAACTTGTAGATTAGTTCTCTTTCCAAACAACAAATGGTCCATTTATTTTAAGAATGCGTTTAACTCATTTCTTAAAAATAGTATATAAAAAAAAATAATGTCAATGATTTTTACAAAGTGTAGATTTAGTGTTTGTAAATAGCTTGTATAGGCCGAGAATAAAAATTGGTTTGATTTTATCTATCCCAAACTCAATCATCGTAAGCAAATTAACCAAATAATTAGAACTTTGGACTAAAAACAAGTTGATGAGAAGGAGGTGGGATTTATAAATACGAATTGCAACATTTTAAGTCAAAGATATACAAAATAGAGTCCGCTCCGAATAGAACAATGAAAATTCTTCGAAAACTATTAGTTTGCTTATCAATTAATTCTTTCCTAGTTTTGCACGTAATTCGTTTTTTTTTTTGGTAAATTTTCAAACATATACACTTAGTCTTAAGCCTAGGAAAATAACAAACAAATTGTGCATATAATTATCAAGTACTAAAAATACATAAACAAAATACGGATACTGTATTCACGATAAAAATGGTAGTTTTAGTTGCACGTTGTTTGTTTTTCATATCATTAATTCTTTAAATTTGAATAGTTTTGAGGTATATAATTCATACGTTTAAAATATAACCTGTGGTCAACACCTAATAAATTTTGAATTCTTTTCAAGAAATTTGGAGGCGTTCTAATCAGTGATTTCCCATGACTTTCATATTAAAAAATAGATGGATATAATAAACATTTGTAGAAATTTTCTATTACCATCAAGAATATTTTGTGAAATTAGGGATACGTTCGCGTGACCTAATTACATTTTCTAAAGGCAGTTCGGATTATGCGTTCGCCCAACTTCGAGCAAACTTTTAATAAAAGGGANTTAATAAAAGGGGGTTCTTCGGAGGATATTAAATTAATTTCATATAACCCGAGATGTGCAGTTCACTATTTAATCATACAAGAGTGATGAATGTTTTTAATTTTATTTTAAGCACAATTTCGAACATAAGTTTTTCTTTAATAAAAATATAAAAAATATTATCAATCTTATTGTGTACACGTATGCGTGACACGATTATTTACATTTATAAAATATATATATATATAATACGAATATACGTACGCGTGATTCGTTTCAAGAAAGGTCTATAATTGTAAACAATCTAAACAAAAGCGGTAACATAATCATGCAACAAGAAAAAATGTATTTAGTAAGTCGAGATAATTAAGCCAAGTATAAAAATGGTTAAGCGACCGTGCTAGAACCACGGAATTCGGGAATGCCTAACACCTTCTTCCGAATTAACAGAATTCCTTACTCGGATTTCTGGTTCGCAGAATGACAAATAGAGTCATATTTTCCTCGATTCGGGATTAAAACCGGTGACTTGGGACGCCATAAAATTCCCAGGTGGCGACTCTGAAATAAACAAACAAATCCCGTTTCGACTGTCCTTTAATTGAAAAAAACTCCTTCACCCCTCGCGGGGGCGGAAAAAGGAGGTGCGACACTGGTGTCTCTCCCCCTCGACACCGCATCTTTTATAATCAGCATTTCATTCGTCAATAAAATCATCATCATCATTCAAAACCCAATTCTCTCTCAGCTTCTGCAATTGTTCGTGATATTGATTTTCCCGCACGATACTGATAATCTAGTCTAGCGTGCGGAGGAGACCTCATTGGCGGACAGCAACCGCACTAACATCGGTTGCTTAGCCTTACGTTGCCCTTCCAAAGAACATCAGGAAGGCGTTGCGTAACAGCATGTGTGATCATAAACATGCTCAAACACAATACACATTTAATAATCAAGTGGTCGGTATCAAATGCAATGAATTAAAAACACTACAACAAGCAGTAAGACAACTCCCATCACTATTCTAAGTATATTCAACTACTTAAAAGAATACCAATTGACCAATAATATTCACACAGCTGATGTTATTGCGACGACATGCAAAGTTACAACTATATAATCATAAAATACCGAGTTATCATCAGCTTTTGCGAATTATATGAATCTGAAGTAAGTTATAATATTTTTGAAGGTAAAATATTTTCTCTTCATCAAATATTAAGAGAAACACAAAGAATCAAAGAGGATGTCTTTCGGAGGATCTCAAAAATTACATTCCCATAAATTCGGTAGTTAAAATCGCACAACATTTTAGAAGGAAATTTCATGCCTTGGAGATGGACAGTCGGCTGCAGTTGACGATCAGCATAGAGGAATGTAGTCAAATGTAGGACGAGATGTATTACTTATGAAAAGGAAATAAGCTGGTGGAAATTTTGCAGTAAGGGAAGAATACACAGCTCTTACTAGAAGTGGTAATGAAGATTCATTCAAAGCAAAAGTTCCTCCCAGAGTGGCAATGTTTTGGCTGGATAGCATTGCGTGAAGCATGCTTTGCACAAGATAATCTATCCAAAAGAGGTTTTATCTTATNTATATATTGTACGATAGCTAAAATACAATTACTTATAATTTTTGTCAGTTTGGCCTAATTTTAAGATGCAAATGATATAAATCTTCTGATTGATATTGACAGTTCCTTAGGAAGCTAATGGAGAACTAATTACTTCTCTTTTCATGAAACATTTACCTTTTGCTCAATAATAAATTGCACAACATTTCACACAATTCTATCTTCCAAAAAAGGTCAACAATTTCAACTAATTAGCTCACAAGAATATTCTTTAAAGGTATCTTTTGTTGGGAAATTATTGGACATAAATTCTCAATACTAGAAACACTTGTAAAAGGAATTAAATATGCCACCGGATAAAGTGACTAGTTTACATGAATTTTTGATACTGTGTTGCATTTTTTATACTAAAGCAATTGTATTTAATGACATCTTCGAAAATTCGTTCCAAGGATTTTTGAATACATGCAAATTAGCAAATATAATTACTTACCAAGCGCTTTTTTGGATATAGGATGACTTGATGACAAGAATGAAGGGACTTAGACAACCAAGTGTCCTGATCCATTAAGTGCTTGATCAGCTGGAAGAGGTGCAGTAGTTATCTCTAAACCAGTTGCTCATTTGTAAGTTGACTATTTTTGGAACTGAAGTTTAACATGAAGAGGGATGTGTTGCACCAAACTAGCTACAAACTGAAGACCTTGAAAGAAACTTACCACGCACAATTTCTTTGTCCAATGGATGCATCCCATGTTCTTTGATGGCAGTTACGTCCCGCTTTAAGCTGCCATTTATCCCAAGTATTTTAACGTAAACTTCGAATTTCCAGCATAGGAAAAGGTTAAAAATTCTCCAAATTCCAAATTATTGTCCCGCACAAAGTCTGGCCAACTCCCATGAAAAAGAAATCATTGTCATTCTTTTCCACAAAAACCTTCCAAGATCTCCCTAGAGTTCGGAGGAATATCTCCATTGAAAAACTAGAGAAAGGTCGATGGAATTCTCCAAGCAAAGGAGACACAAAACGGAATATAACTTCGCTTTGATTTCTGGCAGAAGAAAAATGTGCAATATAAACAATAGAACAAGATAGAATTGATATAACAAAAAATTGAACTACACTCCTAGATGGGTCTTAATCCCGTGCTAATTTTTTTGAGTATATTGTTTGATAATGTCCACTCTAATCTTCTATATTTAGGGCCATAACCACCAGGTAAATCTTTTACTAAGTCATCATTCACTCTTCAGTCAATAACAAAGTGTATTAAATTGGCATTCCTTTCACATATACATCTTTAGCCCTTCTTTAAATATTTACAAACCATCTCTAATCCTAGTTTCTCTGCAATTATACGAGTATAGATTGCTTATTAGGATAATAAACACCCATTTTACCAGATTATAAGGAGTAGTGGTAGGAAATAAATATTTGCACGTTTTTAGTATTATTTTCATCAACATCTAAAAGGACCCATATGAACTGTGAACATTCAGACAAGAACCAAAAACTATAAGAGAACATACCTACATGAAATGACCTCTGTTTTTTAATTGATTAAGAACAGCAAAAAAGTTGGAATAAGTTAAAAGTTCAACTAGTGGATCTTAATGCGGCGTTTTATTACCAGTTAAGGAGAAATAACTAACAATTACAACAACAAATATTACCAGTTGGGGGTTGCATATTTGAGGGTGATAAATCTTAAAGAACTCAGGAAGATGATCGGGGATAGTCACTTGCTCAATTGATGTCACCATTTTATCTTTCACCTTCTTTCTCTGGCTCATTTTGTCTATTGGAAATAGGCTATCTATCTCCACAAGGTAGGGATACACAAGATAAGGGTTGTTGGCATGATGGAGTATTTAGCTTCTAGTCCCAAACATAAAAGTAGTGACACAAGTGGCTAGCCGTGTAATAGTTGTATTTATTTTTCTAGATATTTTTGTAATAATGCTTAGTCTTGTTAGTTAGTCTGTCAATTGGTCCATTTGGTATTGGGCACCCGGATTTATTTAGGCCGATTGTATAAATATACAATAATGGATCTAGAAAGATCCATCGGATTCTTTTCTTCATTTTCAATATACACAGAGAAGAAAATGTTCTCTCCATATGAGTTGAAACCCTAATGCAATTTTACCTAAATTCCTTCATTCAAGATATTTTTATGGTATCAGAGCGGGCATTTTTGATTTCTCCCATGGATCCTTAACGTCCGACCTTACCCCGCATCCGTGTAATCAACATATGGAGATTTTCTGGTCATCGCATTTTTTTAGGATTCGAATTTTCTTTCGAATTTTGGTTTGATTCTTCGTTTCTAGCTAGCTTCCACCGGTGTATAGATTTTCTTCTCAACGTATGGGTGAATTTTTCGACGTGTGCTCTTCATCTTGGTCTCAATCTGGGCAGTGAAGAAGTTAGGGTTTTGCTCGACTTTGTTTGGGTGATAAGATCCAATTTTGAAGGCCGCTCTTCTCCGGTAGTGAAGAAGGCTGGTAATTTCATTTCTTTCGTATTAAAATTATTTGATTACGACATTGTCTAATTTCACTAGTTAGGTATTAGACGAATGGTGTAATGGGAACTCCTGAGAACTTTTCTCCTGATCCCTCTAGCCCCATGTTTGTTCACTCCTCTGATATTCCCGGAATTTTTTTAGTTCTTGTTCCTTTTTCAGGAAGTGAATTTGGGGGTTGGAAGAGGAAGATGATTGTTGCCCTTTCTACTAAGAATTAAATAGCCTTCGTAGATGGTACGTACCCCAGACCAACTATTAGTGGATCTCAACAGAAAATATGGGACAGATACAATAATATGGTAATTTTCTGGTTAACTAGTTCCCTTTCCCCTGAAATAGTAGAAAGTGTGCAATACTCTGATACTGCTCAAAGTATTTGGACTCAGCTCCAAACTAGGTATGGACTACAAATAGGGCAAAGATTTTTGAACTCAAGCGTGAACTAGCTTATACATCTCAAGGTGTTTTAGACATAGTTTCATATTTTAATAAATTGAAGAAACTATAAGATGAACTAGGGGTAATTTGCACCAATCATGCATAAAGGTGCATTTGTGCTGCTAAACCTGGTATTTAACAAGAGGATGAGGAGAACAAGTTTTTCCAACTCCTAATGGGTTTAACTGAGGTATATGTAGGTGTCAGGAGCAATTTGCTTATGATGCAGCCTCCTCCAACTCTTGATAGTGCTTATAACATTTTACTTAATGATGAAAAACAAAGACAAGTTCCATCTAATTCCCAGTTCAACCCTAACTCAATGTCCTTCAATGTGAACGCTAATGTAAAAATGGGTTCCCATCCTGGTATTTGTCTTGTCCCAGCCTTCAATCATAGTGCTCCTCTTCCCATGCAGTATCCTCAAAGGATAAATTTTGAACAGAACAAGGTAACTTTGTTCTGTAAGTACTGCAAAAAGTCTGAACATTTAATTGATCAATGCTTCAAACTTCATGGGTTTCCACAAAATTCTAAGGTGTTCAAGGGTAAAAGAAGTGTTGCCCACAGTGCTGCTGGTTTTACCATGAGTTCAGCAATTCTGATTTTGCTGCTAACTTCAATGAGGGTCCAGCTTCTATTACCCCAGCTATTGAAACTCAAAATTCAGTCATTCCAGGGTTGACCAAGCAAAAGTATGCACAATTGATCAGTCTGCTACAACATTCCAATTTGGGGGAATCCACCAACTCTTCATCCAACCTGTTACGCGGCGCCTCCCTGGGATTCCTTGGAAGGGCGACGTAAGGCTAAGCAATTGATGTCAGTGCAGTTACTATCCGCAAACGGAGGTCCCCTCCGTACGCTAGACGAGATTGTCAGTAGCGTACGGGAAAAACAATGTCAAGGCACTTAAAGAGTTGGGTCCAAAAGTTCTTAGTGAAGCATGAGTCGCGATCACTAACAATATCTTTGGGCAAGCCCCAATATTTGACGAAATGAGAGAAGAAGCGTCGAGTTGTATCTCCTGCTGATATATATTGTAGGGCTGCAATAAAGGTAGCATACTTGGAAAACCGATCTACCACCACCAAGATAGTTGTGAGGTCTCCGACTTTGGGCAATTCGGTGATGAAATCCAGGGAAACGCTTTCCCAAGGTCTCTTTGGGACAGCTAGTGGTTCCAAGAGTCCCGCTTGTGTCAAGTGGTCTGACTTGTCCTTCTGCCATACTAGATAATTCTTCACATATTAAGTGACGTCATCGGCCATTTGAGGCCAATAATATGCACGACAAAGTAACGCCATGGTGTGTTCTTCACCGAGATGGCTGGCCCATAGAGTATCATGTCATTCCACCAGAAGAGTCCTTCGCATATCTCCTCATTTAGGAACATAAAGTCTGTTCCCTTTCACTTTCAGAAAACCATCTTCCATGTAGAATTGGCGAGTCTTGCCATGTCCTACCAAATCAACCAAATACTATACAGCAGGATCCTTGATGAGTAGATCCTGTATCTGGTCCTTGATGGAGGTGGCTACTTCGCTCCCCCTTAGGGTGGCGAGTAGGCACACCGGTGCTAGATCAGCTCTCTGACTGAGCGCATCAGCAACATGATTGGTGTTCCCACTGCGGTACTCCAGGTTAAAGTGGAATTCAGCTAGAAGTTCTTGTCACCTGGCTTGTCGACCATTCAGCTTCGGCTGCGTCATGAAATGGCTAACAACAGTGTTGTCTGTCTTGACCACGAACGGGGTCCCCAAGAGATAATACCTCCAAAGGCGCAAGTGGGTGGCATAGTGCCGCTCTGCATCCTTTAGCTTCCGACTCTCGTACGCTACAGGATGCCCTTCTTGTAGCAAGACTCCACCGAGGGCATAATCGGATGCATCCGTTTGTACCTAAAATGGCTTGGCCAAATCAGGGAGGGCCAAGACGGGGCTACTAGACATAGCCGTTTTCAATGCGTTGAAGGCCTCTGTTCGCCTCGATCCCCAATCCCAGGGTGTGACCTTCTTGAGGAGTTCTCTCAATGGCACTGCGATGAGGGAGTAGTTTTTCACAAACCGCCTATAGAAGTTGCATAGGCCAAGGAACGCACTCATGGCGTGAACATCCTTGGGCAGCGGCCAAGCTGTGATTGCCTGAATCTTTTGTTGGTCCATCTTGATCCGCCCTTCCTCGATGACATGTACGAGTAAGTCAATTTGCTTTTGAGCAAAGGAGCACTTAGATAGCTTCGCATATAGTTCATACTCCTGCAATCGTGCTAAGACCTTCCGCAAGTACACTAGGTGTTCTTCCAATATTTGGCTATATACCACAATGTCATCCAAGTAGACCACCACAAATTCGTCAGTGTACTCTCGGAGACTTGGTTCATCAGACTGCAAAATATAGATGGGGCGTTAGTCAAGCCGAACGGCATGACCAGGAAGTCGTACGACCTATATCTTGTCACACAGGTCATCTTGCGATCATCACCCTTTGCAATCCGAACTTGCCAATAACATGTCTTCAGTTCTATCTTAGTGAACATCGTCACACCACTCAGTCTATAGAACAAGTCTGCCGTTAGCAGAATAGGGTACTTGTTCTTCACGGTGATTTTGTTTAGAGCACCGATAATTCACATAGAGTCGCACGCTGCCATCATGTTTCTTTTGGAATAGAACAGGGGACCCATATAGGGACTTGGAGGGCACAATGATCCCTGTATATAGCATTTCCGTCAATTGTCTCCGAAGCTCGATGAGTTCGGGTTGTGACATCCTATAGGGCACCTGGGCGGGTGGCTTCACACCCGGCACCAACTCAATTTCATGGTCCACAGTGCGCCTAGGCGGTAGTCGCTTTGGCATGCCTTGTGGCATGACATCTTCAAACTCCAGTAGTAGCTCCTTCACGGGTTTAGGAATATGACCCGAGGAGCGTTCTATATCTTCAATGCAGAGGGTTGCTTGGAACGTGGGCTCATGTCTTTTGACCCCCTTCTTCAACTGCAAGGTCGAGATGTTCTCAACGGCCATCTTCATGGGCATGCACGAGATATTGTAGGGCTTGGTTCCATTTTCTCCCATCATCAGTAACATGTCAGCATATGGTACAGGCATGGTGTTCGTTTGCCTCAGGAATTCCAATCTAACTATCAACTCGAAGTTATCTATGATCACCACGTGCAGGTTGAATTTTCCTTCGTAAGGGCCAAGCTTCACTGGTACCTCTTTAGCTATTCCATCCACTGGCTTAGGAGGTGAGTTGATAGCCTTGACACTACCTCTGTCCTTTCCTACAACTAGACCAAGGCGCTCCACCTGAGTCGAGGCTAAGTAATTGTGGGTAGCACCCATGTCTATTATCGCCCGAATGGGCTTGTCATTTACCTTCATCTCGATGAACATTAAGGTCCTCTCTTGTTTAGGAGGAGTCCTCTCATCCGCCTTCTTTTTCCCTTTCTTGGTTCTTGGACAGGGGTCCTTCTTCTTACGGATACCAGCACTGGTTCCCGCTAAGGCCTCAGAAATGGAGCCAACAATTGCATTGAAAAATATATCTATCTTATCAACTTCTTTACCACCTAGGCAATCATTTCCTTGTTCTATTTGTCCTATGGCTAGAAAAACTAGACTTCCCTTTCCTGACAATTTTATTACTACTACTCGACCCTTTCAATTGATACATGGGGGCCTTACCCATATCTTCTGGATCTAAGTATTTTCTTATGGTGTGGTTGAAACAACATTCTCACACACCTCAACAAAATGGTGTGGTTGAAAGAAAACTTAGAACTCTCCTAGAAACATGTAGAGCTTTATTTTTTAAGTCCAAACTTCCTATCAGTTTTTGGGGGGACTACTTGTTAACTGCTACTTATTTG